CGTGCAAAAATTTGTATTATGCATACACTTGCTTCCGCTGACCTTGCAAGAGCAGGACCTGCTAAAAGAGCTGATTAAACAGTAAAAAAGTATTTAGCAGCTATCTTTGCAAATAAAGAAGTTTTTCAGATTAGTATGAATAATGGGAAAAAAATTACTAGCTCTAGCCAAGTATTCAAGCACCTGCTTAAGTACCTGCCCTATTCCTCATAAATCTGCATGTTGCATTAATTTTACCACAAAGAACTACATATGAAAGTTGATAGCAGAAGCTGCGTTATTGGTTATTACTCGCTGCATGTCATGTCCAAGTCAGAGTTTCAGTTGCCAAGGAAGTAGACATAATGCACTGAGACCAATAATATATTCACAGTAGAGAACAATGCAGTAATAACTGGGCCCACAAGTTACCTCTGCTTGAACCAGGTAGCCCAGCAACAAGCATCATCCATCAGTCAGGAATTAAACCAGTCAAAAATGAAAGTTAACTAGCCAAAAGTTTTCATAAATATGTTTTCTTACCCAGAAAGAGCCTACATTGAAAAATAAGACTATCTGGAGCTAGCTAATTCTAGGTATCTCCGTGGCCGTTCTTTTTGCTTTATATCATAAAACTCTGGCACGAGTTCATTTTGTAGCATACAAAGGATTTTTTTTTCCAACAAAGCTTCATGCTTTCATGGCAGCTGAGCCTCAGAAATGCACTTTGCCTTCAAAATAAATAATATGTCAGATAGAGGCGTTGTTGCCTCTTGTGTAGTAACTTCTCAGCATTGCTGATCTGGCTGAAAGCAAGATTAAATGGAAAGGCAGTATAACAATATGTGGCGTTACGCTATCAGTCTGTGGAGCTTTTTAAAATTGTAAAGATTAATATTTAACTTTCAGCTAACTTTTAAGGTAAATATATAAATAAAACTAACTTCTAATACCTGATATGGATTATACTGTATGTAGCCTTAATTAGGCCAAAGTCTCCCACGGTGTTCTGAAACGCCTATCAAGCAGGCTCCCAGGGCTTCGGCTTCTGACACACCAGCTTTATAGCTACCGGGATTCCTCTCGCTTCACGCAAATTACACAAGGGAAGAATAAGACAAAGATGGGGCCCAAGAGCTGTCACTGTACCATTGCTGCGTCCAACTGTATTTTGGACTATGAATACTAGAAGCATTGCTTACCAGGAAATGGACTTCATCTCTACCAGCACAGCAAGAGGTACACTATCGTGGTTTAACCCAGCAGGCAGCTGAGATAACCCCACAGCCGTTCGCTCACTGCCCCCCACCAGTGGGATGGGGGAGAGAATTGAAAAGAAAAAGAACGTAAAACTCGCAGGTTGAGATGAAGACAGCTTAATAGGACAGAAAAGGAAGAGAATACTACTACTACTACTACTACTACTACCACCACCACCACCACCACCACCGATAAAATAATGTACAAAACAAATTGACAGAATTGCTCACCACCCAGAACCAATGCTCAGCGAGTTCTTAAGCCAAACCACCACCCGGCCAACTCCCCCAGTTACATACTGAGCATGCCGTCATATGGTATGGACAGTCTCGCTAGGATGACAAGCAGCATAGCGAGGAGCAATCTCCTTTCTTCAGATGAAGTCAAGAGTCATAGCAGGGAGCTTCTGCTCTGCACTGTTTCTTGTACCTGCAGGAAACTGCAGGAGATTGATTCTTGCAGTGAGCGCCTGTGAACCAGCTTGTGCCACTATTAGGACCAGATCACTTCCTCCTGGTTTACTCACCGACAGTAAAGGCAAAAATGTGCAAGTCCCTATGATAAAGTATTTTTTCCAGGAGGATTTATCTCTGCAGCTGTTCTATGATACAGTATGGATTAAATGACCTATTGATATTTATGTTTAGGAAGAAGCTTGATGGTCCTCTATATTTAAGCCTGATTTCCTCTAAGCATTTCGTCACTTTCACAGGATTTAAGTGCTGTAGTCACACGGAATGGCCTGGTCAACTGGCTGCAGAGGGGACAGTTAACCAGGCTAATCGTTAAATAAATTACTTTGGTTACTCACCGCTATTTTCCCAGTAAATTCCATTCCCTAGTACATGTACAGCTGCACAAAGTTGGAGACCGAAGTGGTTGTGCCCAAAGCGCAGAAGATGCATCCAGGATCCCAGTGCTGTCTCTGAGCACCCCCCTGTGACGAGCCTGTGACAGATGGGAACCTAAAGCCCAAAACAGGGCCTTCATCAAGGTCACACAAGAAGTCTGAAAATCAAGGATCTGCTCCACATTTTTCAAAGATGATGCAACTTCCCCTCCAGTCTATCCTTGAGTTAAATTATGGTCTATGCATATAAAACTTGTATAATTTCAGAGGTGACTTCTATATGTCATTTGTGTGTTCACAACTATAGATATTATTCAAATTCCTGATACCTATATTACAGATAAATTTATCTCATGACATTCAACAGTGTGCACCATTATTATCATCCTGTAAGGCTTAAGCTGTGCCATATACATATGTACAAATTTACCTTCACTTTTAAGAGATAGGTATACCCATCAGCATGATGGTAACATATGTACAAATTTACCTTCACTTTTAAGATAGGTATACCCATCAGCATGATGGTGATGTTTTGCAAGCACTCTATAACCAGTCACTATTCCCATAAATGTTCTATCTATTTTCCTGAATATATTTGAGAATTACATCCTGAATGCAATTCCAATGCTACACACGTGCTCTGAGACAAACAATTACGCTTTTGTAGGAAAATGTGAATTGCAGTATTGCAAAGCAAAAATCCTGAGAGAGACGAAGACCATTTCTGGGATGCCTTCCCCGATGTTTGACAAACATTGGTAGGAAGTTCTTATTTCACAAACTGCAAGAGACCCTGCATTTATCATATTAGAAGGATAATACTTCAAGAAGACATTGTGAGTAATGCAGCTTAAATAGCTCGATACTACAGCTGTAACTTAAGCTGTTCTCATTTATTACTGCCATTGTGATTGATACAGTTTGGGCTCTCCGTAGCATTTCTTATTCATAATAGTGTAATTGTTAACTAAGACTTTGATTCAACTATTTTTATAAAACATGCATAAAAGATGCAAAATGGCAAATTGAAGATAATTACAATTAATTGCACCAGCATGTACTAAAGCATCTGTAGCCTAAGAAAATCAGCAGCTTGCAGCAACACACTTATGATTTTCTGAAACAAAACAGGTGAAAGTATATTTAAATCAGCTTAAATTTTGTATGAATGTATCAATAGACTAAAGGAAATTCCCAACAATTACAGGGCAACAGTGCCACCTTGAGGTCAGTAGAAAATTAAAAGAGGAGGAAAGCTGCAGGTATTGCTCTGAAGGTATTTTACTTTTAAATGCAGAAATTATTTGTTCCATCTATATGTTCAGAGAAAAAAAAAGAGTGTCAAGCCATTTTCTTTGTTTGGTCTTGTTAAAAGCAAAGCATTTGCAAACACCAACCATTTCACAATGCAGTCTTTCCTGAATCATTAATTACTAATTTATTTTCTTTGTTGCTTGGTTTCCTCCTTTCACTAATTGGTACCTGCATTTTGCAGATGATAAAGCATACAACAAAATTCTTGCATCATACATATTTCTTCAGATTAGACGAACACTACTGCATATTCTACCCTTTGATGTTTTATGGGCTATACAATAAAGATACACATGAAGGCCAGTAGAACTGCATTGCAGATCTGGTTGAAACACAGAAAAGAAAAATCTGAATATGCAAACATGGTGAGAAAGCAGGGATTCACCCTCCAAATACGTGTGAGAATCTTAAACAATATGAAAGAATGCAGCAGGAAAACTGCTCTGATCCCTGTGGCACAGCTACTTTGACCATGCATACCTGCCAGACACTTCCAACCACACCTAGCCCTGGGTAATGACTACCAGAATCATGGTAGTTTTAGACTACCAAACCAAATGGTCACTTTCTAATTCTTTTAAGCAAAGGTGGTGGTGAAAACACTAACTGCTATGCAAACAAATATGGTAAATTCTGCTGGGTGGTTGAGAATGCTAGAGCAGAACTATTGTTTGGTGACACAGGTACTTGTCTATCAGCAAGTATGCAAAATTAAATTGATGTTTCAAGTAAGATTCTCTTTTTTCGAGTAAAAACCATCTAGAATATCTCCTTAGATAAGATTCATAGCCCAATAAGGAACCAAATGTTCTGAAAATTAGCTGTTTTCTAAAAATGTATGTTTTATGGCATTTCAACCCAGAGATAGAAAATCTTTATATAAAATATATGTCAGACATTACAGTTCCAAAGGATTTTTTTTAATTAATGAGTCTGAGATAGTTCATGAAACTTACATCACCTTAAGTGAGCAACTCCTACTCTGGCAGAGAATTGTGAAGGGAAAGATGGAGATACCTCATAAGCTTCAAGAAAATAAGGATTTGCTAGTCAAAGTACAATTGCCTCTCCCCAAACACGGGTGCTAATACCCTGGATGGTGTCCCATCCAGGACAGGACTTTCAGGGGATCAGAACACAATTTCAAGGCAAACCAAAGAAGGTGTTATTTCAAATGCTATGCCTTTAAGGAGCTGATGGACAAGCCATTCAGCTGCCCAGGCAGAAAGGACTATAAACTCATCAATTATCCATCCCACTTATTAGTCAGACATTAAACTAAAAGTAGCCAGCTTTGATAAGTCACCTACTTAGTAGGAAGAGATATCATAAAATCTCTTTTTGCTCTTTTGATAGTTAAAAAATATTTACAAGCACAGACAAAAAGCCACTGTTTTTCTACATATACAAAATATCAATACCTCTTTTATCAAATACTATACATTACATACAGCATCATTTTAACCTATAGATTGTGAATCTCTGCGGTTTTCATCCAAAAAGTTTTTCACACCAGATTTTAAAAAAATCTGGTTTAGAATATTCATTCTTTATATCTTCTGAAGAGTAATGTATGGTAAGCAGAAGGAGGACCAAAATATTTTTTTCTTTAATAATACAATTCATTCAGCTTATTTAATTTGGTATCAGAACTACTTTTCATAATATATTATTTTATGTCCTTATCATGAACTACCTATCATAGACTAAGGGCTTGTATAACAACTATTAAAATATATTTTCAGTAGATTCCAGCTTAAAAACAGGAGGCACAAGTATCTTCCTATACATTTAATCAACTCTAAAAAGTTAAATACTGTACATCTATGTTACAGTTTCAGCGCATGCCCAAGATTTGTCTACTTTTTAGTTGATAGTTTTTTTCCAGTTCTGACAGTGCTTGAGCCCGTAGATTTGCAGCATATAGACGTTTTTTGAGATCAGTGCATTTCCCTTTGGAAAGGGGACAGTTTTCCAAATTAACAGGAGGCACAGCATTCTCTTCACTTCCATCAAAGTGTACTTTCTTCTTGGTTGTAGAAAAGGGGAGCAGGAGTGCATTATCTTAAGAAATAAAAAAATAGAAAAAGAGTACTGAATTAGTGTGTCTTTCAGCATTTATTGATTAGCTTATGTCTTTTAACCCTGTTACCCATTTTGCTAACTACCTGTGGCTTTAAGTAATCTAATTAAATGCATTTCAGTTCATAGCAAAAATTCTTTTCAATTTTTGGAAGAAAAATTAGAAACAAAGCTTTTAAATATTTGTGGTGCCATTGTAGTTTCTAGGGTGTATCTCCCAACACCTAAGGAAGTATTAGTTGACATAAGGAGAAAAGACATGGAGTTTCTTCTGAAGGGCAGGACAGCAACATAATCCAGTTCCAAAGGAAAATGGAGAATTAGGCTCTTGGATACTGAAAAACCTTGTCTGTCTTTTATAGCAGGGGCAGACCCAACCTGTCCAGTGGTCTTTCTACATTATCCACATTGTTGCAAGTCTATCCTTGTATTAAGTTAATAGGGTACAAACTAGGCTCTGATTTGAGGAATAATGAGTTTAGATGCTGTAACAATTAGCAAGTTACTTTCACTGCAGCCTCCAGGACAGGAATTGTCATAGTATAGCTATACGTTAGCTGTATAGAACTGCCACAATCAAAAGGCTGTCAGTTTGTTTTGTCTTGTTTTTAATGACTTAGGGTACAAAAACTACCATCAAAAGAGCGTTGTCTCATAAAAACCAGCTTCACAAGACTCAACTCAGGAAAAAAAAATTAGACCTTATCAAAAGTGTAACTATCCTAATCCTAACTCTGCTTAAGCCTTCATTTTCAATTCATTAGGCTAAAGCAAGGAAAACAGAAAAGTGAGGAGGACCAAACTGAAGGGGCTAGTGAATGTTTCAGCATTTTGTAGTTTCATATCAGTGAATTATATCTGTTTTAACATTAAATCCCTCCCCTAAGAATCAGAAAATCCCCTGCAAAAATAGGGTAGTGTCTGAGACATGGTCCTAGAAACCAGGACTTTTGGTATTCCATTTTACTGTGAAGCACACAACTGACTTTGAGGAGAAATTAGGGATCCAAGATGTGCAAGATGCAATCTAGACAGTCATAGAGTAACTGAAGATAAGAGACGCAATGTGGATAACATATTGGAGAAACACTTAGTCCATTCATATCAGTAGAGGGAGAATTTTAGAAACAGTTTTACAAGAGTATCATGGAATGAATTTGAAGAGTAGCAAACATTGTGACAAATGTTGAATCAAGTGATTTATAGATATTTTCAAGATTTGGTCACTCTTGTAATAACTATATTCACTTCTCTGCATTGTCTGTCAAGGTATTAACTACTCAAAAGTGGTTTTTTGCCCATCTTCAAAAATTAATACCCCTGTTAAGGTCAAAATATCATGTAAAGGGGTGGGAGATGCAGAAAAGAACAGAAGCAAATGCTGAAGCTCATTTACCTTCAGTCATCCAGTGCTAGAGGCAACATCAGAAAGCCCAAGGCAAATTTATTCTTAATTTTATATTCTTTAATGTGTCAAAGTCAGACAAGATATTGAGAGACAGGTGGAATTCTCAAAATTGACAGGAATGTTAGAAATGGCTTGAGCACCACTAACTTCTGGTAGCATTTTACTTGTGTTCTTTCCTGCTGTCACAGGCACTTCTTGGGAAAAAAAAAAAAGCAACTTCAGTTTTATTCGTATTGGAGGCACTGACATGCTTATCTTGCTTTATATGAGCAAAACTAAATGAAGAGATTGTTGCTGCGTGTTAAAGGGTGTTCACGCTTCTTTGTTCTGCAGTATTACTTAGGACCCAGCTATTTAATATTCCATCAATATTTCAAAATGCATTTAGATACTTGGATCATTTTTACTATTAAAGGACAGGTGCAATGAACAGATGATACTACCTCTTATGATAGTAAGGACTGAACAATAAAGGCCAAATTGAGGGTCAAATACTTATGGGCTGATAACTACTGTAAAACAGATTGGCCTACAAGTAGTCAGGAAGCATTATAGCACATTTTCAAAGCTTTTTGTTTTCTAGTGAGTTAAACTGAAGTATGATAACAGCAGTTTGTATTCTTCAGAGCTTATAGAATGCACCAATCACCACAGCTGGGTCACTTGCAACAAATATTATTTTACACCTTGAAGTTTTTGGAAGTTGAACTAAAGTTGAACTTTTTAGACACATGCAATTTTATTAAAATTAACTAAATCAAAGGTCTATAAAAATACATCCATAAGTAAAAGTAAGTACAACTCTGAGAAAGTTTGGGTTACAAGTCAGCACTTCCATCAGCTTACTGCAAGAACCTAATTTTCAAAACAGCGCAAAACTGCAGTGCTGACAGCGATCACTCACACTCATGGCTGGGCATCATTCATTAAGTCTTTTCGCAAAGCGGAAAATAAAGAGTCTTTTCCAAACCATGCAGAGATAATTGGGGTTTGTATTGCTACAATAGGACTAGGTACAGCACGCTGAGCATCAGGGGCATTCTTCTGGTCATACCAGCCTACATTTATCAGTGCAAGCGGCTTCTTGCGTATTTTCATACCTGGACCATCTGCACAAGCTAATGTCCTCTGCTGTTTGTAGAGATTGTAGTTCCTCATCAAGTTTTCAGCTCTGTTTTGAAAAGAGAAATTTAAGCTTTTTGTTGTAAGATTGTAGAGTTTCTAATCTAGGCAATTATAGGTTAGTAAGATACCTAGCAAGTTTGTCCTCTGCCAGTCTCTCTCGAACACAGAGTTCCCGTTCTCTCTCTGGAAGTAGAAATATGGTAGTATACAGAGTTAAGATGTAAACGTTAGAGTGATTGTGCATGATGGATTTTCTCGCAGAAAAAGACAGCAGCAATAGCCTGTCAGATGCACCCATATTTCTGCTTCTACAGCTCTAAGCAAAGCAAGATAACTGCTGCATAGATACACCTTTATCAACGCACTGATAAAGCACTGGACAAGTACTCTGAAATGCTAGGCATGCTTCCTCCCCCGCCCCCAACTCTGTCATATCTGCAACAATGAAGCTATAGCAGCTTTCTATTCCACACATTAACTCATGGCACACATTAAATCAGATCTAAATAAATATTTAGATACCAGATGCTATAATTCTGCTATGACTAAACACCCTGTATACAGCAGCAGCAGTTATTCAGGCTCAGAAAACAATATATATAGTTAAAATCTGTATTACAGAGCCTGCTGCATATGCAAAGAAGCATTTTATGCGAGCAGGAAACCCCAACACCTGAGGAGAAGCCATCTATACAGTTTCACAGGCAAGCTACCTGTAGGGTGCAGCTTCTGTAAAAGCAGTTGACAGTTTACTCAGGTATATTTTGCTCCATCAGGCTCAATAGCCAATGTTAACTTACACAGAGCAGGTGAAAAGCAACCTACAGTGTGCAGTGCAGAACAATATATTCAGACCCTATTTTTCTGTATACTTTCCTAATTGCCACTCATATTTAATATTCCCAAACCAGACATCTGTATCCAAACTGCCAATTATATCTTAGTAACTTAAAACAAGAACTAGTATAGATAAGTAAGCCCAAGAATTCTTTATTCTTTAGACAGAATTCTAATAGTGAATGCAGGAGTACAATCTCCTAGTGCATTAAAATGAGGGGTTTGAAGACTGTCTACCTTTCCTTCCTCCACACTTATTCTTTCAAATCATAATCCCATTGCCACCCTCTTCCCCAAGTGGAATATCATACGCTCCAAACGTTGCTCTCTCTCTTTAATGGCTTGCTCTCGCTCCTGTAGTTGTTGTTCCTTCCGTTTCAGTTCATTCACTACAGCATCTGAATGCTGCAGCCTTTCTGGCTCCCATGATCTCTGGCCTCTTTTATCAGAATTTTGTCTTTGTTCTTCTGTCACCAAGTCTGCTATCAAGGGGTGTTGCAGAATATCTTCAACAGAAGGTCGGCAATAATCCTAAAGGAAAAACATTACCAAGAGGTTCCATCTATAGAAACATTAAGGCCAGGGATTCTCAAACAAGACCCACCTCAGGTGGAAACCATGCTATACAGTAAAGGAGAAGTTAGAGAAAAATGGAGTTAGGAAGGGGCAACGCAACCAGATGACAAAAGCTGAAGGAGGAGACTGTTACCAGCCCTTCAGCTCCAGAAGCTGCAAGTCTGGCTCTCCTAGTCCAGGCACCCACTCCTTTCAGAGCTAGAATGGGGTGGTGAGCCTACAGAGGCAATTGGCAGTAGGTTCTGCAGCTAATACTGCATCTCTACCTGTCACTTGATTCCTGAAGGATCTGTACCTGTTGGAGCCTAGGGTTCTTGTTACAGCTTTGTTATCCCATGCAGTATTCTTCTCAACCATGGGGGGTGAGCTACACATTAGCCATAAAAAGCAAAATCCAAATGAAGACAAAACAACTCCTTCCAACTTCCAAACACACTGGAACCATTTTAATCTTGAAGTTATAAGACCTTGTTAAGCACCCTGTTAGGAAATTCTGTATAAGCCAATATTGAGACAGCCTTTTTGCATCCTGTGAACCTGATGTAACACTTGAGCTGCTGCCTTTGTTTAATGGACTCAAAGCACAATTCCTCCCTCCTTCCCCTACAACTGATCTTGCCAGTGACAAGGTGATAGCAACCACTACTTCAGATCAGTCTGTTTCATAACTGAGAGGGAAAACTAGTATTTCAGTACTAGTTTGAATTATAGGTGGAAAAATTAGTAACTGATTCTTACCTTCACATTCAGCATCTCTTTGAGAAGATCATTCAACTGCTCTGAGTAACGATACGGTATTCGTCTGAACTTCCCTTCCCTTATCTTTTCTGCCAGCTCCTTTTGGTTGTAAGCTCTGAATGGAGGCCTGAAGAACATTTTTCTTGGATTCTTTCACTAGTTTTACAGGACTTATTTTCATTTAAAAAAAGCATCAGACTAAGTAAAAAGCTGCAATCAAAGGTTTGACTACCTAATGTCAAGGCCAATACAGAAATAAAAATCTAGGACTAGTCTCTGAAACATTTAAGCTTTCATCTATACAAAATTTAATCACAAATGCATTAACAGTTATGTTTCCACATTCATTACCACACTAGTATACTTACGAGAGAGCACATAATTCATACAGGAGACATCCGAGAGACCAGATGTCAGATTTTTCATTGTATGACATGTGGTTCATTTGTTCCTAAAGAAAGAGAACAATCTTAAGTTTATTAACTAAGACATTGTTCTACTATTGCAGGATATTCAGCTACTGTTCAAACCTGAACTAAACCATTACTTTTAAGATTCCATCTTAATTAACCTCCACAGCTACTCTTACTAGCAGAATTTTAACAAGTTATGGCATACTACACTGTAGAAGACTGAATGAAGTGTTGCATTAATCTTCAGTTGATACAGCTCCATATTTCAGTCAACATTAATCTTTCCCACACAAAATGCACTGTATCAGGGAAATAACTCATTCTTTTTATTTACATGACAAGTTAAAATCCTACCATCAAGAGGTAATTTAAATAGTTCTTTAGCTTAAGACTATGAAACATAAAAGCACTCTAGCTTCCCTGTTCCTTTTCAGGAACAGGATACTCCAAATTAACTACCTTACATCTCTAATGTTCCAAGAACATATAAAAACTTATACAGTGAAGAACCACCTTAATTAGAAGGCACTGATGGTGTGAGGAAGAAAGGGAATTAAAATAGCTGTCAATTAACCTTGTCTCCAGAACATACACACCTACATTTAAGACTAGTAACTCTTCATTAAAACCTCCCAAGCCTTCATAGACTCTGAGATCAACACTGCAGAAAACAGATCTTAGAGGGACAAGAGGGAAGATAAGGTACAGAAGGGAGGTCTTACAGGAGACATATAATATGGAGTTCCAACAAATGTTTTGGCAAAGCTGGTGTCATGGTGCAATATTCTAGCCAGTCCAAAATCCCCAAGTTTTACATTCTGCTTGCCATCTAGAAAGACATTTGCTGGTTTTAGGTCACGATGCACAGTGACTCCACCATCACTCCGTCTGTGACATTCCTTCAAGGCCAATGTCAATTGAGTCAATACTCTGAGAACAAAGCTTTCTTCCAAGTAATGCCTGAAAGATGAACACATTGTTTAACAAAGGTATTCTCTGAGTATCCATCACTTTAAGTAGTTGCTGCCAGTCTTAGTTCTGTAACTTTTTTACTACTACTGCTATAAAACATCACTGAATCAATCCTAGCACCTTTATAGAAAACTAACAGCAACAGGCATCTACATATGGTATTTTAAAAATGGAAGTTTTGTGTTTTTTTTTTTAAATCACTCCAAATATGTTGGAGGACATCTAGACTTTTGTTGCAGAATCCCCATAATATTCCCTTCCTCCTGCAAAGGGTCTAACAAATATGTAGCATATCCATTACTTACAACACAAACAACAGTTTAATGCTTTTCTGATGAGATCTGCCCCTTTGATCACTTATGATAACAGTATTAGTGTCAGCTGTTTCTAAAACCGTTATGAGGAACATACAACACTAATGCCAAGACAGGACTTATTTTTAATATAACCCTCCTAAAGGGAAAATACTGATATGTTTGGGGGCAGCTGCCATACCATTTTAGACTATTCTCACAAAGCCACACATGTCGTGTCATGTACTTACTTTACTTAAGAATGTGAAAACTTAAGAATGTGAATACTTAACAAGTAGGCTGCTAAGTCTAAGATTAGACCATGGTGAAGTCTTATCAACCTGCTGTCTCCACAAGCTTTTTATGCAGGCACATAAAGTAGTTTTTAACATGATGTTCAAAATAACTTTTCCCTTTTGTGCACGTTGGTGTTCTAATAAAAAAATAGGGTACAAGTGGTTTTACTGATGGACAAGCCAAAAGAACTCACAGATCAAGCTACCTCTCTGCAAGAACTGTTTTACGTTTTCAACACCATGCATAGCATTGCATGAAGAAACCCTTCAACAGCTTCTGCCTCATAAGAGAGCTCAGGTTTTTTTACTGTTTGGACATAAACATCTGATCAGTGCATTCATTAGCACAGTTCCCAGCAGTGTTGTAATTTTGCACAACCCTTTCACATTTTAGAAAAGTTGTCAGGTCCAAAGGATGAGACCTGAAATTGTTCAGGAGTTACTAGGAAGAGATACATTTCACGTTGAGCTTTTTGGTTTGATTGCCCAAGACATTTATGCTAGATACTCCAAAATTGCCACAAACAGGTTTCACGTGCCTTTCTTTTGTGCACCTTGCAATTAAGCTAGCCAGGTCACCCCCGTCACAGTACTCCATCACGATGTACAGGGTTGTGCTGCTTCTGTCGATGATCCGATCGTAATACCGGACAATATTCGGATGTCTCAGCTCACGAAGCAAATTCACTTCCGAAACAAGCATTTGTTTCTCTGCCTCTGTCATCGAGCCGTAGTCGAGCTCCTTCCATACCAAGATCTAGAGAGGGGGGAAAAAAAAAAACCAGCAAAACACCAAATCCTTAGGGAGTGACTTACAGAAAAGCCAGAGCTCTGCAGGGGGGGAAGAGAGGCTTTGAAAGCC